TGCCTTATAATGGAGTCATAGATGCAAGAAACGGCTGAGCGTTGCTAGAAAAAATGCATGTGCAAATCTGCTGGAATAGCAATTGATTCACTGACCAGAAGATCCTGACCGTTTTAGTGCAGTAGTGTTGCTATATAATCAATCATTGTCAGCCACAGAGTCAGCCATTTAGCGGCTTTTCGACAACAAGAATACTGTACCACCTACGACTTTTGGTGCTACATTGATGCGCAAGCATGTGGCCATGGACCACGCTGATTTATTGCTGCACCTTTAGAAAGAAGCTTGCTCGGCCAAACAGGTCAATGTATTCGCTTCATCATCTACTGACATTACTGATAGCGTTTGTGCTTGAAGACGCACGCATGGACTCGGGAAGTGGGTGATCAGCTATTTTTAGAATCCAAACGAACGTCTGACGAGACTGTCTGGTCTGACAAACAGTAGTGACTCTCAACAGACTTGAGTGCTGTGATAATGTTTATTTTTTAGCTCAGTACCACTCACCAATTTGTAGTCTACAACTATTTTATTATTCCACTAAAGCCGAGATAATCATAGCAGACATTTAACGGTATTTATAACATTAGGGCTATTTTTCTACCCTATTAATCTATTTTTCCCTGTCAATATATCTGATATCTATCATCTGTATTTCTAACCTTCGATATGATTTGACTGACCGTCTCGATCTCTATCTTTCAACAAAACGATTTCGAAATTTCAAGATCTTTTCTCAACTTTTCCTCCTTAACGAAGATCTTGATATAAATAAATTTCTCTCATTTGAACCTTCGAGCTCTATTACGCACATCGTCTATCCACTCTCTTCCTCTCTTCCTCTCTTCCTCTTCTTCTTCTCATGGACTATCGTCAACTTCAATCACAACCAGGTATGGCACGTCTTAATGGTAGTAATCGTGCTGCTTGGAATGCAATGGATTTAGAAATTGGTGTACAAGTTCCACCAGTTACTGCACGTAGTGGAGTAGAAGATTCTGGTGCACTCTCGGCTCGTAATGTATTATTACGTCAAAAATTACGTGAGCGTAAACGTTATGACTCGGCAGATGATGCGATGAAAAAAGCAGCAGCAGCATCAGCACGTGCAACAACTGGGTCGCTAAATGATAAGGTGACGGGCTTGAATCAGATGTCTTCCCACGTCATGACATTGCCGAATCAGACGTACGTTAGAGAACGGCCATTTTCACCGGCACAAATGGGTCAATCGGCTTTTTTTAATGCGATGGAAAGTCGTACTGAGAAGAAACAACCGATGCATCGAACGATCTCTACATCATTGTATGAGCCATCATTAGGAGGAGCAGTTGAAGGTCGGAATCTATTGATTCAACGTAAACTACTACAGAGCAAAGTAGGGGCTGACTCGGTCGAGTATCAGACACAAAACGATGGACATGAGATGGTACAAGATATGGAAGATACAGACATGAAGAACGTGGGAGAGATGGAGCGTAGTAATGCAGAGGTTGTAAGCTCTCCTAGTTCATCATTTGCAGCAACTTTAAGTCGACGACAGCAATTGGCAAGTATGAGTCCCAGTCGTGCTGGAAAATATGGTGCATTAGAAAACAAGAAAAAGTCGAGTCGACGAGATTCACAAGAGCAGCAACGGCATCAAAAGAGTCCGTCAATGTGTGCTTTTATTGATATTGGTACAGATGAAAACAAGGTACTACCGAGTGGAAGATCCGATTATGGCAAGCTTTCTGCTGCTCATGTGTTGATCCGACGTAAATTAAAGGAGCGAAAAAGGTTTGACTCGGCAGACTATGCGATGGAGAAACAGGGTCGACCAATGGATGTGCCTGCTGAGATTGCTGCCGACGTTATTGCTCCAGGTACGACAGCTTGTGGACATAGCACGCTTGGGATGTCGCAAGCGGCAATTAATCACCAAGTGAAGCATATTAAACTTTCCGAGACTCCTAGCGGACGTGCCATGTCTTCAGCAGTTGGTAATGCAGCTCAGGCTGCTTTGGCGGCGCGGGCAGCTCGCTATGCAGGATTGAAGAAAAAAGGGAACATTATGGCAGACAACAACCTATCACAGGGAGGGCTCGATCGATATGGCCTTGACAAGAGCGCGACGCCTTCAGGTGCAGCCGCCGCACGCAATTTAGTGCTACAGCGCAAGCTTGCGGAGCGTAAAATGTTTGACTCGGCTGATCACTTCAAGGAGGCCGCTTGATATGCATGAATGCATGTGCATTGACGAAAGTGTAGAAGGATAAGCGAAAGATTAGGTAAGTGACGTATGTAGTAGTGATCGGCGACGCAAGAGGCGTAAGTTAATGATAAAGACTTGTGCCGCCCGAGATGGTTGTTCGCGTCATCATTGACCACCAAAGCGGCCACACAGCAGACGAGCTGGCATTGGTGGGTACGATGCCACTGCTTAACGAGTTTGAATAATTTAGATTTCTACTATTTTCTTCAGAAATGTAAACAAGTATATACTTCTTGCACGAAAGGTGTGCCTTTGAGACTGTCACTTGAACAAACCTCCTCTTCCTTCATCATAATTATCTTGCATACAATAATGATGCATTTGCCTATAGCTGCATCTTGCATTAGTACAAAATGACCATGAGGTCAAAAGTATCTAATCCTCATATGAGAAACTGCATCCACTTGATCGCTATTTCGATTATGAGAAGCACGAAACACCTAAGACACAGCATATTCAACGTAAAGAGTGCACCGCAATCAACCAGCATCACCAGCACTTCACGTCAATTGAGACCACAGAGACTTAGATCCGCCTTCAAACCACCATGAATTTCCTTATTCTTGAGTTTCATCCGTCGAGTAAGGAACGCATTAAAACCATCCATTCCCTGTAAATCTTCCTTTGTCATTGGATTACCTTCTAAGTTCATCACTTGAATACTTGAGCCTTCTCCAAGCACCTCAGCAGCAATAGTCTGTACTGTTGCACCTGCTGAGCGACCAATTAGCATGTTTCTACGCGCTGATAGCACCTTCAGCTTGCCACATTTTGCCAAAGCAGCTGGTAGTTCCGTCAATGTATTACCATCCACATGAAGTTCTTGTAACTCTTGCATTTTACCCAAATCTGAAGGTAAAACTTCCACGTGATTGTCGGATAAATCAAGTTCTTGCAATTCCATTAGTTTCAATACATTATCCGGTATCATACCTAGTCGATTGTTTTTCAATGACAACTTGAGCAAATGAGGTGGTAAAGCATGGACAAGAGTCTCGACTTTATTACTATCAAGTACGAGCTGTACGAAAATGATGATACCATCATATGGATACACATACACACATTACATCACACAAAGCAACAAAAAAGTACCCATAATTGTCAATAAGGTCACATACGGGCCAATTACAACTATGACCCAATTATTATTGTACCCACAATACTATAATTGTCATTTTTTTTACATAAGTTGACAATTATTCTTTCGTACCGTCGTAAGTGCTTCAAGTGCAGATAAATCCGGTAACGTCTCGAGGTTATTCAGCGATAATTTCAGTGTCTTTAACGTAGTAAGTACGTTTATTGTTGATGGTATTGTAGTCAATTTATTGCCTGTGAGATCTAATATCCGCAATGTTGATAATTGCAATAATTCCTCCGGTAAATGTTTTAATTTACTATTGGAAAGTGATAATAAATCCGTTCGCTTGGCATTCTTTATCTTTTGTTGCTGAATCTTACGACTAGTCTTGGGTCTACTCTTTGCTTCAGTATGAGCGTCACGTGCTTTCGTCGCTGTATTCCCCATACTATTGAATTGTCATGACCCAAAATACAAAAAAATAGAATTTGGTACTGACCAAAAGTTTTCTGCGCTGGATACATAATCGAGAGAGATAAGACGGGTCTTTTGATTGGTTGAAATGCAATCTAACGTCGTCGCCTGTAAAATAATCATCATTCCAAGAAGAAGAATGATGATCAGCAGTGAGTCCAGTGACGAGGAGCTAGATACGCTTCATGAAGACGCTGTTGCTGCTATAAACCCCATTCATAGGACAAAAAGGATTAAGAAATCATCATCCAAAGCTCTGGACGCATTGACGGATGATTCGAGCAGTCCAAAACGTGCTAGAGATGATGGTACAGTGAATGTCGACGCTGAAGTAACACAAAAATTGAAGCGAGAGGCCCGGAAGAAGCGTAAAGCAGAGGAAAAAGCGTATCGAGAAGAAGAAAAGAAGAGCCAACAAGAGGAACAATTGATCCATGAACGTGCAAGGAAAGGACGAGGTTTTACGTTAAGTATTGCAATTCCTGGCTCCATTCTAGACAATGCACAGACAAAAGAGCTCAAGACGTATTTAGCTGGACAAGTCGCTCGTGCTGCTGTGATCTTTCAAGTGGATGAAATTGTTGTATTTGATGATCAATTGGGAAAACAAACAAGTAGGGAAGGACCCAAGAAACGTGCACATGATTGCCATGTCTTTATGGCACGTATTTTGCAGTATTTAGAGACACCACAGTACTTGAGACGTGCATTGTTTCCCATGCACTCGGATTTAAGCTGTGCAGGGCTATTGAATCCATTGGATTGTCCACATCATTTACGTGCGCAAGAATGGAGCGTCTATCGTGAAGGTGTAGTCACGGATCGACCACTGAAGGAAAAGGAAGGCTCCCATATCTATGTCGGATTGCAGCGTGAAGTTGTAGTGGATAAACGTATAACACCTGGAATTCGAGTTACAGTAAAGATTGATGAGGCTTCAAAAGACTTTAAGAAGAAGAGTAAGTGTAGCTAGTTGTGCAACGTTAAGCTTTGGAAGAGAATAACGTTATGTGGTTATTTTGTACAGTGGTGGGCAAGCTAGTGTCATCTGCTGAACCACGAGAGCAGCTTGGTGTATACTGGGGCTACACAACTCGATTTGCGTCTTCGTTGAGCAATGTCTGGACCACTTGTCCCTTTCCCGGAGGCTACGACCTCAAGGTAGGCACGTCTGAGCGTGGCAATGTGTCAGTCGACGACGCAGGCTTCTCGCTGCCGAGATTCCGACACGCACTCATCGTTTTTGGTGGTGTGGCTGGTATTGAGGAGTGTGTGGACGCTGACGAGACGATTCCTGTAAGCGGCGAAGACTCGCACACGCTCTTTGACATGTGGGTTAACACGTGTCCTGAGCAAGGCAGTCGCACTATTCGTTCAGAGGAGGCGCTGCTAGTCTCCCTCGCTGCTCTTCGGCCGCACGTTACCCGTGGTGGACGAGCGCAGTAAATGACAACGTTCAACGGTCAATAAGACACAAACAATAGAAGCATACACTGGAGAGCAATTATGATTCGAACGCTCCGTGTGTGATTACTAGAAGGAGTTATCCGAGTGCAGGCCTCTTGGTCGTACTTCTTATAGCAATGGAACCCGCGAATGCAACGCATTGTGCGGTTCTTGCCACAGCAGCACAACTCCTTGCACACAGGGCAGCCGTTCTCGAAAATGTCATTGCCATGCTCTTCAAGCATCTTCTCAGCACACTTTGCGCAGAAGATGTGCGGACACGAGAGACATCGCACATTTTTCTTCCTCAAATTGCCGCACCGGTGACACGAAGCACGATGACGCATGAGCATATTCACGCAGTTTCCAGTGCTGCTCAGCTGAGGTTGTTGGAAGTCTGTCGCTGATACTGCGGATGTCAAAAGTCCATTTGCCGTGGCTGTCGAGTGTGTTGGCACACCACCAGCTGAACTGAGACCTTTTCCAAGGTCATATTGAAATCCTGAACTCGCTATAAATCCTTTACTGCCTTCGAAACCACCTTCTGGAGATAGAGAGACTCGTAATTTGCACTGTCATACCCGTTCTGGCTGGGTGATTGTTGCTGAAAGCTCGGATCGCTGTTGACTACATACTGCTGGCTTTGACTTGAGGTCATCAAGTGATCTCATAGGGCCATAGTCAGCCCACATGGACCGTGTCAGCGCTGACAAGCTGTAAATGCTCGTGTTGCTACTGTTCAAAGTCGTGCTCTCCAAAACCGATTCACTAATGGAATTCGGTACTGATGCGGCCGAGTAGATGTAGGTCGCCTCATTTGGTGAAATTCGTGGCAGCTTGGTATCGCCTTTCAAAGCTGCAGTTGGTTCCAACTCATCAGTTTTATGGGCTGGTAGATTAACAGCAACAAGAGCTTGTGCCATACGACTCACGATAGCTTGTGCCTCCTGTTGGGAGCTCGGGGTCCAAGCATTATCATTCACTGACTTGAGTGATGCGGGTAGTGCACTCCATTCGTGTAAGTGGGGCAATGCTCGTCGCAACGCTCGGCAATCCTGGTCACTGATTTGGACGTTTATACCATTCTCCACCATGAGTAGCTGACGCATGTAATAACTCACTGCAGTCCAGAGCTGCACATTTGGATCCACTCGCAACCACCCCGATGTCGTTTCATTCCAATACTGTGCCAACACATTGTGCTGCATCTCAAGCAACACAATGCCCAGTTGTGTTTCCATCGCTGAAGTGCACGCAAAGTAACCGTGAAATAGTGAACAGCTCTGCACACCACCAGCGAAACGAGCAAACATTCTGCCAGCTGGCACGAGTAGTGTGCTCCCAGCACTCACTACGCACTTGATACATTTATCCACGCATTCAGCCACAAACATCGTCGCACACTTTGAGTCGTTTTTCCAAGCTCGGTAGATGTTCCAATTGACCAGCGTCGGTGGGATCAAAAACACCCACAACGCGCCTCCAGATACCGATAACCACGTGCACTGACCACCAGGAGCAAGTGTAAAATCCAGATCGGCATTGGACGCTAGGAACGCGCCAAAAGACGTTTGTGTCCACTGAATTCTTACTCGAGGTTTCGTCGTCAGCATTGCCGAAAATCAAGCAATGCCAATTCAAATGAGCTACAGCAACCGGCGGCGCAACTTGCAACTGTGTCGATGTTTGTTGGAACTGAAATTCAGCATTGGCGAGCAATGTGGTATCCTTTTTTTCATCCGGTTGATTGTCAAATGCTTTTGCCTGCCACATTGAAGCTGTCAGCTGCATTTTTGTTTGTGTTGCCACGTCAGTGGATCGCACGAGTCGGTTAGCTGTCAATATCTCGGCAACAAAAACTGCGTCAAGCACTGGAAACGGCTCATGGAGTCCAGCAACTTGGTAATTGTTGTCTGCAATGAGCACAGGCTCCTTGAATCCATTCTGTTGCAAGAACAGTGGCTGCATGTCTTGAGACAAGACAAGACGCACTCCAGATCGAGCATACACTGCTGCACTCATAAGTTGCCGAAAACTTGACGAGTTTTTCTGATGTGGAAGTCGAAAAAGAGTCGAAGAAACTGCGTAGCTGTTTAAATGCACAGGTAAAGGCGAGAAGGACATTGAGTCTGGATCAAATGGACCATGATGGAGTTCTTCAATTAACATCACAAACACATACAAATCATTCTTAGCTTGGTAACACAAACCACCTCGTATGAAAAAAAAGGGTTGTCAAGTTCTGTAGGAACTACGAACCATACTTTGCACCTTGATGACCATGCTGTTGACAATCAAGACAGGCAAATTTGGCTACACGTAGCACGTCGTGTTCATTTACTTGAGTACAAGTACCATGAAACCATCGACTACAAAAGTGACATTCAATGAGGAAAATGGACGCACGTGGATCAACGTCATTGCCGCAGATGACACAGCTCGGTAGCATCTTTGCCGTGACTTTTGTACGTAAGATGATTAATTACAGAGTAAATTTGATCTGATTGAGTCTTGTGAATATCGAAATTTTTGGACAGAGATAGAGAGAGAGAAAAGAGAGGGAACTAGACAATGCAATGATGACATGTTCGATCTTAAACGTGCGTACATGTGTTGTCCATTTTATTGTGATGATCATGTGGAGACGAGGCAGGTAAATAAAACCTTGAAGCACGAATAGGGGTCTTGAGATATTAATACACTTTTGCTTGTGTTTGATTGGCGGTATTGATCCATTGGGTAATAAAAAAGGGTTATACAAACCAGCGAAATGAAGCTGGGGTAGGGGACCGCCTTGTATCTTCTCAAATGATAGAAAACGTACATCACCGTACGTTCGTGTCTGTAATACGTAGCAACCGTATCAGTGGATAATATCTGGATCATCAATGTCGTACCTTGTCTGTCTTCATAAACTTCTATAAGACTGATATGTGCTTGCTGACATCATGTTTTGACCATATGTCTTTGACCGTGTGCACGTCGTTCTTACAGCGATACTTGTATTGACTTTCATTTCGTATTTCAATAGCAATACAAGGGTCACTCAACTGACAATACAGCTCGTATTTTCACCATTCGTTGGCTTTTCTTATTTGACTAGTCGTGATGGTCGTTGCCATGTGATAGCAAGGACGTCGGGTATGGCTGTCTGTAGAGGCATTGGCGTTGTCACTGGTGTTGATAATGAATTGACAAGTCAGGCATGGGATTTCCTCACTCGCATGTTTTGATACTGACAAGTCCAAGTGTCGTATGAACTAAAGCAAAATGAAGTCTGAAACCTATCTAATACTTGTCATTGTACATGTTTGAGCGTTTGTTTTGCGATAAGCGCTCGGCATGCACGCACACGAGCACACCATAAGCCCATTAGACTTGCTGTAATTCAATCGACAGAGTGTACGGTAGGGTAGAGTAAAAACCACGAATAAAACACGTATGCGTCATGAGAGTGCTTTCTCGTACCTGAGCATATCACATGTACCAATTTTTGACGCAGACATATTTACTCATAGCTCACCTTTGAAGTGGCCAAAGTAAGTATTAGGCCAGCCATAACACCCCTCCTCTCCGAAATATGTGTTGTTACTTAACGATTTCTGTCCTCGATGTGTGCCTATGTTTTGGTACACCTTTCACCTTTCTTGACAATTGGTCGTACATAACGAACCACATATGAAAGAGACACTACGCTTGCAGTTTGGTACAGCAGCCACGACAATTGGTACACAATGGTTGGCATTACAAGAAGCCAATGGAATTACAACGAAGCCTCATGTTTTGTCATTTGAGGCTAAAGGTCGCGTCCGAAGACAAGTTCAAGCAGTTCCTAAACAGCATAAAGACCACACAACGTGGTAAGGACTGATTGATTTCCATTTAATTTGTTATGGGTACATTATGTACCCATACTGTCTTTTGTTGCTAGTCTAATTGCTAATTCTATATTGCTATTGATCAATCTTGTCTACTGTTTATTCAGGGATGGAGGGCTACAAGTGTATGACCAGTTATTACGAGCTGAACCAATGGTGGATGATGGACTCTGGAGCTGGAAAAGACTCCAGGAGCATAACCTCGTGGAGGTGGATGAGTTTCGCTCACATATGCCTCTGCATAATTTCTACGAAGGTCACGCAGTTTCTAATGGAGGAAATATTGGAATTAAGACGTTAGAAGACGTAGAAGATCGAGTGCGGACGCTTTTAGAGGCTTGTGACCAATTGAGATTGGTACAGGGTCTAGTGGATATGGACTCGTCATGGGGAGGTCTGGCGCATGAGGTGCTGACATATGTCGCAGAAGAGTGCCCAGGTGTTGTGATTATGATGGTGGGCAATGATTGGAGCTATCCGATGGCGACTGACGACGACGATGCAATCTTTCGCGTTGCACCTATTGTGCGAGATCAAACAAAGATTGAGGCGAGAAAGAGAATCAATATTGCGTCATCCGTGGCATTACTTTCTGAGGTATCACATTTGGTATTACCTCTGGCGATGTCGTCTAGCTCTCTGCCAAGCACAAGATGTCCTCAGCTTCGTTTTGACCGGTCGAGCTGTGCTGACGTTAGTACTGTTGTCGCCACTGCATTGGAGCTATCATTATCAACGCACCGAGGCCGATCACTGTATGATATCATGGAAGGAGTTCGACCCAGCATGAAAGTTGTAGAGTTGTTTGCATCGTTCCCGCATATGACTGATCCAACGATGCTCAAGAGTATCAGCGACAGCATCACCAATGAAGTGAACGGTCACAGTACAGTGACCGGGCATTCGCTCCATAGGTGCTCGTTCCTTCCATCCATTCAACAGCCCCCTGGACTTCAAGTCAACGAAGACAAAACCGGCAAGACGTACTACCAACGTCTCCATTTTCGTGGAGCATTCACGGCTTACTCATCTCTGCGCTCCTCCATCGACAACTTTTCCATATCAACCCGTAATATTGCGTTACATTGGTCTGACACTTCACCTCTCAAGCTGCCAGCAACCTACCGTCTTCCGACGCTGCAAAACTCGTCTGTTGATGCAATATCTGCATTCGCTCTTTCCAGCCGAACAGGAGATTACTTGCATACGATTGCGCAACTTGCGTCCAAGAGTCACAAACGTACGTTGTTTGAGTTCATACGTGCTGGTATGAGTTTTGATGCGCTTGAAGAATTAGACGCGACATTAGCAACCATGGGTGATGCGTACTATACTCAATAAGATACCAATGAACCAACATGGATACGCTTTTGAATATTAAGGTACAATTTAAATCTGACCAAGTGTTACTTACATACCAACGAAAAGCAGCACCCGGTGATAGGAGAAGTAAGATAAAGATAGGCGCGTTTATATTTTCAAGCGCGTCTATCCTTATTATCTCCTTCTTGCGTTGTTTCTATGATGCCCACCAAGTTCAGTAACCCGGCATCATATGCTCATCTTTAATACTAGCTTACTCGGGACGTCTTCGACTGTCATAGAATCCACCAGGCAAACTTTTTTGCTTTGTCATGTATAACAATTGTGTTGATTGTTGGCTAACTCTTACCTAAAATAGCTTCAAAAGCCGAGGAACACTTAACAAGACCTTTGTACGCGTCAAGACGGTGTGTACCGTTGTCGCATCAATCAAAATTCTTACGAGAGCATCTTAGCTTAGGGTCTATAAAAATATCTGCTCACTAAACATGGTGTTCTCGCCGTATCAGCAAGACATACGATCATGACGTTATTTCGTACAACCTATCTAGACCGATATGAGCTAGTGTAGCCGAGCTACTGTAGCTACGCTACTTATGCACTATTTGCAGAGGAAGACAAGCTCAGAGAGCTTCTACGTCTTAAGGTGCTTAACCCTCCTAGGCTAGCTCGTAAGCTTGTGCCTATCGGTTGTTGTAACCGCGTCTCAAAGAGACTAGTATCAAAGATACTTAATTTCTCAGGAGGAATTGTACGCTCAAGCAGTTATGCTTGTAGAGCAGGTTTGAAACTGATTGATATTTATGTTTATCTTCTAACACTAAATTTAGAAGCATCTATCCTATACTTAGTGCTAGTCACTATTACTGGCTCTTTAGCCTTTTATTATTATGCAAATATGCATAGTCACTATACTTTAAATAAGTATAGTGACCACGTCCCACGATGTAACCGACCGTACTTCAGGTACGGTCACATCACCTACTTTGTACCCAAGTTACAGCCACACCACATTGGTGTGGCAGGTGTGTATGTAAAATACACATCTTCGTGTAACCCCGTTACACCCTCCCCGACGAATCCGTGGGACCCGAGTACCCACGAATTTTCGCACTTAATTGGAGGCATCGATTTCATTTTCTTCTCATTTAGCTTGCCTCGCAATAAGTGCTTGCACTTGCGTCTAAAGCTCCTGTGTTTTTAACACTTGCTCTTTGAGCACCCGTGCATTGCACACACGCTTTATAATCATCCTGGTGTTACGCCACTCGCTCTTTAAGCATATAGTGCATCACACTCACGCTAAAGCATTAAATGTTACGACACTTGCTTATCAGCGTTAAGTGCTAGGCACTTGGTATTATTAATACCTTTTGTGTGTTCACAACACTTGATTTTATGCAATACAGTGTTCACAACACTTCTTTTTATGCAATACAGTGTTCACAACACTTGCTTTGAGCATTTGAGCATATAAGTGTGTAACACTTGCTCACAAAGCACCGTAATAATAACACTAGCTCATAATGCACAATAGTTTCGAACACTAGCTTGTAATGCACATTAGTGTCGAACACTAGCTTGTAATGCACATTAGTGTCGAACACTAGCTACAATGCATATCAGTGTCTAACACTAGCTTATAAAGCACCTAGTGTTCAACACTTGCTTATAAAGCACAATTTTAATTCACTTTAGCGTATAAGCACCATAGCATCTAATAGTAGCTTATAAAGCACCATAGTGTATAACAGTAGCTTATAAAGCAGCATAGTGCATAACACTAGCTTATAAAGCACCATAGTGCATAACACTTGCTTATAAAGCACCTTCGTGTTCAGCAATTGCTTATGAAGCACCTAAATGTTTAACACGTGCTTGTAACGCACCTTAGTGTTGAAAACTTGCTTTTGAAAAGCCTCTAAGTGCTTAAAACACTTGCTTATATAATTCCAAAGTGTTGTACACTTCTGATAAAGCTTCATAGTGCTTCACACTTGCTTATATAAAGCCCCACAGTGTTACTTTGCTTATAAAGCTT